CCGGCACAGTCTGGTTTCAGACCGGGACATGGTACCGAGACGGTCTTGGTCGCCTTAGTGGATGATCTGCGCCGGGAGCTAGACAGGGGGAGTGTGTCCCTGTTGGTGCTCCTGGACCTCTCAGCGGCCTTCGATACCGTCGACCACGGTATTCTTCTGGGACGCCTTGCAGAGATGGGTCTTGGGGGCACTGCTTTGCAGTGGCTCCGGTCATTTCTGGAGGGTCGCACTCAGAAGGTGTTACTGGGGGACACCTGTTCAACGCCGCAGCCGTTGATCTGTGGCGTTCCTCAGGGTTCCATCTTGTCCCCCTTGTTGTTTAACATCTACATGAAGCCGCTGGGTGAGATCATCCGGAGTTTCGGGGTGCGGTGTCATCTGTACGCAGATGATGTCCAACTCTGTCACTCCTTTCCACCTGCTACTAAGGAGGCTGTCGAGGTCCTGAACCGGTGCCTGGCCGCTGTAATGGTCTGGATGAGGGCGAACAAATTGAAATTAAATCCAGACAAGACAGAGGTACTCCTGGTCAGTCGCAAGGCCGAACAGGGTATAGGGTTACAGCCTGTGCTGGACGGGGTCGCACTCCCCTTGAAGGCGCAGGTTCGCAGCTTGGGTGTGACCCTGGATTCATCGTTGAGCCTGGATCCCCAGGTTTCAGCGGTGACCAGGGGAGCATTTGCACAGCTTAGGCTCGTGCGCCAGCTGCGCCCGTATCTTGGGAAGTCTGACTTGGCCACGGTGGTACACGCTTTGGTCACATCCCGCCTCGACTACTGCAACGCTCTCTACGTGGGGCTGCCCTTGAAGACGGCCTGGAAGCTCCAGCTAGTCCAGCGCGCGGCAGCCATGTTGTTAACCGGAGCGGGACGCAGGGAGCACACAACGCCCCTGCTGTCCCAGCTCCACTGGCTGCCGATTTGCTACCGGGCCCAATTTAAGGTGCTGGTGTTATCCTACAAAGCCCTAAACGGTTCCGGCCCAAAATACCTTGCAGACCGCATCTCGGCCTACGAGCCCACGAGGACCTTGAGATCATCCGGGGAGGCCCTTCTCTCGGTCCCGCCTGCCTCACAGGCACGCCTGGCGGGGACGAGAGAGCGGGCCTTCTCGGTGGTGGCCCCCCGGCTGTGGAACACCCTCCCTGCTTCTAGATATGGCCTTTCTTGATGGCCTTTCGTAGGGGCCTGAAAACATGGCTCTTCGGGCAGGCCTTCAACTGAGTGTAGTGAATGACAATTGGATTGAACTAGGACTACGATTTTTGGCTATGACCCCAGGACTTGACGAAGCGGATTTTTAGTATAAGTATATGTTATGTTGTATTGTCTGGTCTGTATCGTTTTGCTCACTGTACACTGTCCTTTCTGTTATTGTTCACCGCCCCGAGTCGCCCTCGGGCTGAGAGGGGCGGTCAATAAATGCAAGAAATAAATAAATAAATAAATAAATAATAAATAAATATGTCTTCTTGTCCTGCTGTAGGCAGCATTTCTAAACCTGGGGCTTCAGACCCCTGGGGGGGGGTTGTGAGGGGGTGTCAGAAGGGTCACCAAAGACCACCAGAAAACATAGTATTTTCTGTTGGTCATGGGCGTTCTGTGTGGGAAGTTTGACCCAATTCTATTACTGGTGGGGTTCAGAATGCTCGTTGATTGTAGGTGAACTATAAATCTCAGTAACTACAACTCTCAAATAACAAGTTCTACCTCCCCCAAATTCTATCTGTGCTCATGTTTGGGCATATGGAGTATTTGTGCCAAGTTTGGTCTAGATCCTTCATTGTTTGAGTCCACCGTGATCTTTGGATATAGGTGAACTACTACTCTCAAACTCAAGGTCAATGCCCACCAAACCCTTCCAGTATTTTCTAATGGTCATGGGAGTTCTGTGTGCCAAGTTTGATTCAATTCCATCATTGGTAGGGTTCAGAATGCTCTTTGATTGTAGGTGAACTATAAATCCCAACAATCACAACTTCCAAATGTCAAGGTCTATTTTCCCCAAACTCCACCAGAGTTCACATTTGGGCATATTGAGTATTCATGCCAATTTTTGTCCAGATCCATCATTGTTTGAGTACACACTGCTCTGTGGATGTAGGTGAACTACTACTCCCAAACTCAAGGCCAATGCCCACCAAACCCTTCCAGTATTTTCTATGGGTCATTGGAGTTCCGTGTGTCAAGTTTGGTTTAATTCAATTGTAGGTGGAGTTCTGAATGCTATTTGATTGTAGGTGAACTGTCCCAGCACATACAACTCCCAAATGCCAAAAGTAGCAATGAAAATAATATTATGGTTGGGGGTCACCACAACATGAGGAACTGTATTAAGGGGTCACAACATTAGTAAGGTTGAGAAACACTGACTTAGATGAAAGATTAGAAGGCATGATGATCAAGTTAGCAGATGATACCAAATTGGGAGGAATAGTCAATATTCCAGAAAGACAGGAGCAGGATTCAAAATGATTTTAACAAATTAGAGAGATGGGCCAAAACTACACAATGAAGTTCAACAGGGACAAATACAAGATACTCCACTTAGGCAGGAAAAAAATGAAATGCAAAGATACAAAATGGAGGATGCATTGCTCGATAGCAGTATGTGTGAAAAAGATCTTGGAATCCTAGTGGACAACAAGTTAAACATGAGCCAACAATGTCATGCAGCAGCTAAAAAAAGCCAATGGGATTTCGGCCTGCATAGTGTCTAGATCCAGGGAAGTCATGTTACCCCTCTACTCTGCCTTGGTCAGACTACATCTAGAATACTGTGTCCAATTCTGGCCACCACTATTTAAGAGATGTTGACAAGCTGGAATGTATCCAGAGGAGGGCGACTAAAACAATCAAGGGTTGGAGAACAAGCCCTATGAGGAGCAACTTAAAGAGCTGGGCATGTTTAGCCTGCAAAAGAGAAAGCTGAAAGGAGACATGATAGCTATGTGAGGGGAAGTAATAGGGAGGAGGGAGCAAGCGTTTTCTGCTGCCCTGGAGACTAGGACATGAAGCTATGTCCTCAAACTACAGGAAAGGAGATAACACCTGAACATTAGGAAGAACTTCCTAACTGTGAGAGCTGTTCAGCAGTGGAACTCTCAGCCTCATAGCATGATGGAGGCTCCTTCTTTGGAGGGTTTTAAAGAGAGGCTGGATGGTCATCTGTCAGGGCTGCAGTTTTCCTGCTTCTTGGCAGGGGGTTGTACAGGATGGCCCGTGAGGTCTCATCCAACTCGACTTGAAGTTTCTCAAGTCGTTCCTGACACAACAAAAAAAATCCAGCTTAATGATTCTATGATTCTATCATTCTATGCAGGGCTCTGTAGATTCAAAAAATATATCATATATTTTCGGTTATTTTCAATTATGGTTGCTATAGTCATGCTGCAGGTAGAAAGACCTTTCAGTATTAGCTGCAGCATTTTTTAGGTCTTCCAGTGTGATGCTAAGGTATTCTTGAGCAGGACATCCTTCATTTCAGTAGAGCTCACTATTACCAACAGATTTGTGTATGAAGTCTGGGAATGTATCCCTCATAGATTTAGGGGCCACACCAAAATCACCGGTGGTGCAGTGGATAAAAACCCTTGTGCCAACAGGACTGAAGACCAACAGGTCAGAGGTTCGAATTCTGGGGAGAGCATGGATGAGCTCCCTCTGTCAGCTCCAGCTCCCCATGCAGGGACATGAGAGAAGCCTCCCGCAAGGATGGCAAAACATCAAAACATCCTGGCATCCCCTGGGCAACGTTCTTGGAGACATCCAATTCTCTCACACCAGAAGCAACTTAAAGTTTGTCAAGTTGCTTCTGACATAAAAAAAAACCCCAAAATCACCACTGGTTCCTCATGTTTCTAAAAACTGGAGGTGAAGGGAGTCAAACATGTCCCTCCATGAAATGTTGGCGGCCATGGAAATGTCATTTGGTAAAAGACATAATCAGTAGGACAAAGATATTTGCTGGGCCTATGCAAGTGTATTGTCTTAAAGAAAATGATAGCAAAATGAAGACCAATTCATAGGATACCCCCTACACACAAGCATACACACACTTCTGGATTGTGCTTCAGTCCATCTTTATTTATCTTTCCACAGGTGGGGCAGATTGCCCAGCAACGCTGCAATCAACGTTGTCACTGAAAACTCTTTGGAGGACCAATCTGAAGGATTGTCTAGACCGCTTCATCTTTTTCCTCCCAATAAGGAAGTAAATCAGTGGATTGACACTGCTATTGATGGAGGCACATGCTATAGATATCATCAACAGATATAAGGAATGAGGATAATTAAAAACATCAAAGGAAAGTAAAATGAATGTAACACTGAGTGGGGTACCAAAACAAATGAAAACAAGAAGTATAAACACAAGGGCAACATAGAACTTGCCTCGTCGATGTTGATATAAGCTACAGTATGTCCTGATAAAAAGAAGGATAGTACAAATTATGACAACAGAAGTACAAAGCACGAAGTTCATAATACTGGTGATTTCTAACACCAAATCTGACGTTTTTACTATGAAGTGTCCAGACATCAGACAGGACATGATCCATAGCAAGGTACAAATAAGAGCAGATAGGTATTTGGGCCGGTGACAACGATACCAGATTGGGAAAACAACAGACAAGCATTTTTCAGCACTGATGGCTGTCAGAAGATATTGGCTAATGGTGTAAGTGAAGAGAAAACAGTGGAAAAGCCAGGGAGAAAAATTTCGATATACTAAAAGGAACTCTATGCATAGACATCCCAAAGAAAGCAGGACCACAGAGTCAGCTGCAGCCAAGTTTAAGACATAGGTGGTGATGGGATTCTTTTTAATCCGAAAGCAGAGATACCAGATGACAATTGCATTCCCCACCAGCCCAAATATACATATGAAAGGGATAAGACTGGCAGTTATATACAAAAAGAATATAAAGTATAAAAATTCAAATGCTTCATCCTCGGAGAACTCTAAAGTGTAGTTTTGGCCTTGAGATGCTTCTATGCCGTAAGTGGAAGGAAGCCATGGTGTTGTATTCAGCTGAGTCATGATGAAATCTCCTGTTCTTGGACTCTGGCTTCTTCTTCTTTAATGTACTGTCAACTGAAAGAGGTCAGAGAGAGAGAGAGAGAGAGAGAGAGAGAGAGAGAGAGAGAGAAATCTGACTCATTTTCATTTGGAAACATTTTCCACTCTCATACAGCCTCAACAAGGAAACATCAGGTGTGTGTGTATATATATATATATATATATATATATATATATATATATATATAAACAAGGCAGTGTCTCCTGACATCCTACCATGTGGCAAACCTTTGAGGAAGGTTCAGTCTTCAAGCAGTGATGGTTGGTGCCTTTTTTGCCAGTGGAATGGTAATACAATACATGTTTTAATCTCAAGTGTACAAGCAGTATCTAAAATGATAAATCCATTAGTGTTTTGATATCTTGGAAAGCTCCTTTAAAATTGGGATGAAATCTTAATCTAAATCAATGCCACCAGCATCCACTATTTGTAGCATCACATTCTCATTGTGACGCCATAAATGGCACATTCATGCAATTACAAATTGATGCAATTACAATTTACACGTGCAGCTTTGAAGAAGGCAGAAAATCCAGATTGTCTCTATGTTGGTAGAAGCCCTTAAGTTGTCACTATGTTGGTAGAATCTCTTAAGTGGTAGTCATAATATTTCCATTGCAAGAGACACTACGATGTGCATGAGGATAGAAAACCACCTTTCTGGATGTTGCTGCAGGTGTGGTTTTCTTTTGCGCTTTCAGGAGTTAACTGGATAGGGACCTTCCCTTGCAGTAGCAATAGAGCATTAAAGTACAAGTTTGTGTGTATTCCCTTGACTTGTAGCATACTAACTTGCATAATGAATTGTCAGACATGTAATCATTGAGACATATACATTGTGCCATGCTGCCATTTAGTACAGCAATTATATAATGTACCTCTGCTTGCACATGTTTACATTTCACTGGAGCAAAGCAGTTGTGAGGAATCTACATTAAATATAGCATGCTATCTAGTGTCTTTGAATATTATTCTTTAATTTGGGGAAACACAGTATCTGTCTTGATATCCACTCCTCAATATCTCCAATTTTTAGTTGCCTTTTCTCTGTACTTAATCTTTGGAAATGGCAAATAGTAAAATCTTTCTTGTCTATCTATGATCAACCTAGACTTTCTCAATATCATCATTTGGACTGCAGCCTCTATAAGCTCTGAACAATGGTGAAGCTGTTGGAATTGCTGGCCAAACTGTTTGGAAAACATCAGGTTAGGGAAGGATGTGCTAGCACGAAGTCGGAAAATTGTCTACATAGAAGAATAATGGCAAATCTATAGTCTTACCTCAAACTCTCCTACTTTTGTAGCAGTAGCAGCCAGTGGAACATGACAGGTAGAGGGATACTGCAGAAAGCTTCTGAAACAAGAGGAATCAACTGATCAATGCACTGTTGAATAAAAGTTATGGATTTGGAATGGGATTCATCATTAGAGAATATATTTCAGAACAGTAAAGAGACTAGCACTGAGAAATGATAGGAAGAAGGACAAGAAAGATAGGTGTTATAGACATCAGTACTAACCAGACAAGTCTACTTTATCCTGAATCAGGCCATTGGTCCATCAGGCTGAGTGATGTCTCTCCAGTTTATGACTGTGCGCTCAGGCTTCTGATGATTCCTTAAAAGAGGCTCAAGGAGAAACTTCCCAACCCAATAATCTCACATTCTCTGACTACAAAAGCCAAGGATTAATCCTGAAATCCTTACAGAACTTGGGATTCTGTAGAAGAGAAGGGTGAAAGGAGATAAGATAGCCATGTATAAATATGTGAAAGGATGTCATAAGGAACAGGGAGAATCCTTCTTTTCTGCTGCCCTGGAAACTAAGAATCCATGGAGCAATTCGTTCATATTACAGGAAAGGAAATTGCACCTGAAGATTAGGAAGAACTTCCTGACCATAAGGGCTATTCAACAGTGGAACTCTCTGCCTCAATGACTGGTGGAAGCTCCTTCCTTGGAAGTTTTTAATGAGAGGTTGGATGGCCATCTATGAGGGGTGTTTTGATTGCTTTTCCTGCATGGTGGTGAGTTGGACTACATGGTCCAGTGCAGGCCCGTAGCCAGGATTTTGTTTCGGGGGGGGGGGGCTGAGTCTGAGTGAAAGAGGGTCTAGCCTAGCAAACCTTTTGTATCGTTACCCCAATACCCCCATGCATATGGCATATATTGAGTAGGATGATCAGATCATGATATGGATAAACATAACAGTCTAAATAATGTACCAGTAAGGCCTTCTCACGGACCACCATGAGAATTTCGGGGGAGGGGGCTGAAGCCCCCCAAGCCTCCCCCCCCCCCCCCCCCGGCTACATGCGTGGTCCAGTGTTGTATGTCAGCCTGTTCAGCATGTGGTTGTGTCTAAAGATCAGGTTGCTTTGGATGATGGGAATAACAATGTTATTCATGTTCAAGTTGATTCTTCTGATGTGAATGGGGATGCTGTCCATGAAGATGTTCCTGAAGAAAATGGGAATGATGGTCTGTTTCCTGGACCTGGTTTTAGAGATGTGGGGCCTGAATGCAGTTCAGTTGATGGCTTAGAGAGGCCTGTATTGGGATTCTCAAGGTCTTGAGCCTGGGAAAGGCTTTGCACCTGGTCAGTTATCTCCAGGTGCAGATTGTAATGAAGCCTTGAGCAGAGGAAGTGCTTTTAGCCAGCAAAGATAAACAAATTTAGGCACTCAGTCAGATTAGAGCACAAGCTAGAAGTGAAACCAAAATTAAGGAAAAATCAATTCTTAGCTGTTTGGGAAACAAAGTAAACATATAAGTGCTAAGTACTGAGTCTAGCCTCAGACTAAGCAATGTCTTTGTTTGATTCCTGTTTTAAGTGCCTTTGCTGTTATTTTGCCTTTGAAATCAGCCCTCTAGTTTCATGGATTTCTTTGGACTATTTCTCTTTGGTTTAATTGCTCTTTTAACTTCCTAATCAATTGGATTTACATTTTACTGTATATTACTTTTTATTCCTTTAGCATTTACTACCCTCAATAAACTGTTTGCTATTTTACCTCAACTGTGTGGTGTTTAAAGTCAAAGGGAATCCTGCTCTGGAGTGAAACACCCATGTGGTCTCTTTCAACTCTATAATTCTATTATTCCAAGTAATTACTAGTTACAAATTGTCAGAATTTTTCAGTATGATATTTCTTAAGAAAAAATAAGAAAGTGTAAGTAAATATAAGGATCAAGCCCAACCATCCTGTAAGCATAAAGAGTCAAGCCACCACTGTAATTTACAGCCAGGGTGGATCAGCTGTAAAAGATGCTAAAGTAGCAAAAAGCTCCTCTATTGTTGAGGGTTGGTGTTGATAAAGAGTTGTTGTTGGAAAGAAAGTTGCAAAGATACAGAAGAATTGGAAAACAAGACCTTTTGCAAGTAAGAAGGTTTCAACTACCTGGGAAAGTCTGGAAGAACTTGAGAAGAGTCCTGGTCTTCTGCTATACAGTAAATATTCCTTAGGTAAAGTGTTATCTACTACAAAGACAAGTTGTGTATGTATTCTCCTTAAACAGAGGAGGTGTGTTTCTCCTGCAAATGTGTTGTTTCTGTTGCTTCATACCGAACCCCATTAATTTCACCACAATATTTGCTTATGTGCCCAGTGTACTCTGAGGAACATGGACTTTAAAGCCCAGAACTCCCAAAGACAAACAGGTGCAAGGATTATAAGGTACAGAATCCACAGAAGTGTTGGGTGATGGAAAAGACTGAGCAGCATGTCTCTTTCTGCAAGTAGCAGTTTATCCTCGGAAAGACTAAATGTTACAAATTATTCAGCATGGACTGCAAAGCTGAAGTATTTTCTCATTAGAGAAAATGTATGGGACATTGTTGAAAATCTTCCAGCAGCTGGGGCAAATGCAACTAACTTTTGAGCTGACGAAAAAGCCAAGGCAAATATTATTCTTTCAGTTCAAGATGGTTTATCTTAGAAGTGCAACAACTCCCAGAGATTGCTGGAAGCATCTAAGCAATGTGTACCAGATGGAAACAGCTGGAATTAAAAATTATTTTGACAAGATGTCTTTATAATTTAAAGTTGCAAAGGAGACAAAGTGTGTCTAAACATTTGCAAAAATTAAGAAATTTATTTGTGGTCTTGGAGGACAGACAAATGACAGCAAAATTATGATAGCTGGGACCCAACAATGTGCTAGTTGTGTAATGCGCAAGTGGGAAACTAACAAAATAATAAGCCACTACATCAGGATTGTGTGCACTACATGCACTGTGTACTTGGGCATTGTAGTTTTCCTTATTTACATGAACTAAACACAATAACATATTTAAGTTTAAAACAATGCAGTAAGTTTTTGGACTGTGTATTTTGCTCAAGGTAAAAGTTGAAAGCATTTCCTATGGCTAAAAGGAGTTATAAAACTACCAAAAGATGGTTTGGGTTAAGCCATGCTGACCTTGCAGGACCATTTACTCCAAGTGAGGGAGGGACAAGATACATTTTTGTAATAGTTGGTAATTACACCAGATTCACTTATTGTATGTTATTGAAGTTGAAACCTTAAGTATTTGTTAAGTTTAAAGAGTGGCTAGCAATGATAGAAAGGAAGTTTCCTTTTAAGTTATCTTGTCTTAGAACAGACAAAGGAGGGGAATTCATGGGTCATCAGTTCCAAAATGGGTTAAGGAAAAAGGAATTTCACATCAAAGAACAAATCCCTGCTTTCCTCCTGAAAATGGAGTAAATGGAGTAGCAGAGAGAAAAATAGGAGTATTGAAAATAATGATGGATGATGCTAACACCCCAAATAGTTTATGGGTGGAGGCAATTTTAACAGCAACACATGTAATAAATAGGACATGGAGTTCATGTGTTAATGAGACTCCTTTCAACATGTTGTATAATAAAAGGACCAACCAAAAATAACTGACAATTTTTGATAGTTTTGGTAATGCTCTAATTCCTAGACAGGCAAGAAGAAAAGGGCAAAGGAAACGGCAGAGATTACGGTTCATAGGTTATGGGGGGGGGGGG